ATAAAATAGCTTCATGTCTACATCTTATTGTAAGTGGTTCAAATAGAATTTATATAGACAGAGAAAGAGAAGGAAAAGAATAAAATGTTAAAAAATGTCAAAAACAAAAGAAAACAATGTCAACTCTTGGACACTGGCTGAGGAATACCTGAGAACTTTTGTCACTCACTTTGCAACCTTCCTGTGTGTCTGGAATTAGACAAAATTATTTTTAAAATTAGAGTAAAAAAAATTGCCATAAGCAAGAATAAGAGATATCTACTACTAAAAGGGGGGAATATTGATAATATATGTGACAGACAATGAATTCATCTCTTAGTGTGTAAATTATAAGAAAAATACAAATGCCACATTGGAAAAGACAAACAGGTAAGTCACAAAAGGAGGGTAAGGAAAGGGAAATGAAAGGAAAGGAGGGGGATGGGAACAGGGAAGGCAGGAGATTGAACTGGACGTGATTTTCCTGTGTTTCTACATGAATACGAGACCAGTGAAACTCCACATCATGTAGAACCACAAAAATGGGAAGCTCTACTCCAGGTATGTATGATATGTCAAAATACACGTTACTGTCATGTAGAACTAAAAAGAACAAATTAAAAATTTTTTTAAATGACACATAAGAGGCAATTGACATATGTATAGAAGTGTGCATATGTATATATAAGTGTGTATGTATGCATATATGTGTCTACATGTGTTTGCGTGCATATACACATATGTATATAATGTCAGTATCAAAAGAGAAATGTACCCAGGCATGGTGGCTCACTCCTGTAATCCCAGTGGCTTGGAGGCTGAGGCAGGAGGATCTCAAGTTCAGAGCCAGCTTCAGCAACTCTCAAAATAAAAATGACTGGAGATGAAGCTCAGTGGATAAGTGCACCTGAGTTTAATCCCCAGGAGGGAGGGAGAGAGAGAGAGAGAGAGAGAGAGAGAGAGAGAGAGAGAGAGAGAGAGAGAGAGAGAGATATAAACTTTTTTAAGAACTGTGATAAAAACTTCCCTAATAATTGCCCCTCCCACAGTAAGGTAACATATTAAGGGCAAATCTGAAACTAACCAAAAACTCCAAAGTCAGAGACCTTATCATTAAATGCTCACGATTCTGTTGCTGGGTGCCCCAGCTTGTGCACTGATATGGCTGCAATTCGGTCACAGAAGTTTTTAACGACATCCAGTCCCTTTGACCCTACATTTCCTTTTACTTAGAATTTATCCTAAGGAAATAAGCAGAGAGATGGAAAATTACATGCAAGGCAGTTAGTTCATTATAACACTATAAAAATATTATGTCACAAGTCTAAGGAGTGGGATCAGTCAGACGATGGATTACTGAGTGTTCATGAAAAAAATCCCACGGTGGAAAAGTGTTTATTGACAGAAAAGTTAACCTTACGTCCACTGCTGACACTACTTCTCTTGGAGGGGTGGTATTATTTTGCTGGCATTATCTTTCTGGCACCCACGGAGGAGGCCCCCCGGGCTGCAGGACATGGGGGGGCTGGTCGTACACTGAAGGATGCCGTGGCTGGGCCCAGCAGCTGAGGAGCCTCCAGAAAAGCTGAAGACCTACAACTGAGAAGGGACCAAGCTGCACGGCAAAAGGTGAGTTTCCCCAACTTACAAAACGCTACAGATTCATTAATCCTGCATATATTTAGGTGCCTGGTATGTTCAAAATGTAGTGCAAGATGGCCCAAGAGGAAAGGAAGGAAGGGAGTCTATCAAATTGGGTAAGGAATGTTACTTGTCCTTAGTGGAGCTCACAAGTCAGCAGGAGTGACCAGAAGAATTTCACACCTAGCTACGGCATAAGGAAGAACCCTGGAGGAAGGACAGAGACTCCCTGGAGATGAAAATCAAGGAGGCCTCTAAGATGAAGAGAGAGGCATCTTTGGCTGACTGCTGTTGTCCTGGAAACACTAAAAAACAAACAAACAAACCAAAAAAAAAAATAAAACATGCAAGGGCAGGATAGGGATTGAAAAACAGGAAAGAGGAGAAAAGTAGAAAGCCTCATTGTGGACAGGATGAATATGTTGACTTGGCTGAAAATGGGAGAAATGTAAGGAAGTCAGTGCTAAGAACTGGGAGGGTTGGCTAAGGTCAGAGAATAACAAGACTCCAGTGATGGACGTCCAGACTCAGCATACTGGACGAGTGGGGTCACTAAAGGTTGCTGGGCACTCTGCAAGCCTGACATAACCTGCACTAGTGAGATGGACCTGGTGTCCATTGCTGACAATGAGGTGGACCAGATCTCCAGAGAAACCCTCCTAGGACAGAGCACCTCCACTGCAGGCAGATGATTTAAAGCATCTTTGTTAGCGCATGACCGGAAATCCTCAGAGCCTGGCTTAGCAGGAAACTATGACTCCAAAAAGGCAAGAAAATGGTGGGGTTGGCATCTCCGTGAGAGCGCCTGCCTAGAGCAGGAGTCAGCAAATGTCGGCCGTGGCCACACCTGACTTGCCACCCTTTCTGTAAATAAAGCTTTATGGGACCCGGCCACACCCACTCGTTCCTGTGTTCTGCTCTCATGCTGCAACCACCGAGATGAGTAGCTGCCACAGAGACGTGTGGTCCACACAGCCTGAAGAGGGACAGTCTGGCCCTTCCCAGAAGAACTCTGCTGAGGCCTGGGCTTGAGCTACAGTTGGCTGGGTCTGTGGGACTTGGGACCGGCACAGAATGGGATGCCATATGAAAGGCTCTGCATACAGCTTGCACCCTTCAGCACCTTCAGCAGACGAACCATGAGAAAGTCTGCTCTGAAGAAGGAGATGGAGGAAAGTCTTGCTCATTCATATCTTGGCTGCGGTAGAAAGAAAAAAGATCCCTCTGAGAATTCCTTTCCACAAGCCCATCCTCACTCTGGTTAAAGCCCACCTATCTGTGTGGTGACCCAAACCAAACCAAAACACACACACACACACACACAATCCTCCCACATGATCTGTGGGGTGACCTCCCCAAAATCTTCTAACCAAAAATTCATTTTATTTAAGCAATTCAGCTATTAGTGACTTTGGGTGTCTAGCAAAACAAAACAGAACAAAAAACAATCTTTGATTTCTCACAGATAAAGTTTTCCAAAGAATATAATAACATAAACTTTGAATCAAAAAGCACAAAACAGGCTGTGTGTAGTGGCGCACACCTGTCATTCCAGCAGCTTGAGAGGCTGAGGCAGGAGGATCTTGAGTTCAAAGCCATCCTCAGCAAAAGCCAGGTGCTAAGTAACTCAGTTTAGAGTTATTGTCTCTAAATAAAATATAAAAATGGGCTGGAGATGTGGCTCAGTGGTGAAGTGCCCCTGAGTTCAATATCTGGTACCTTAAAAAAAAAAAAAAAAGCACAAACCATATGAGGAAACAAATTACTAAAACTAAACAGAACAAACTGCATAATTAAACCCACAAAGGTTATAGATAGTGAAACTATTAGATACCAAACATAAAATATTTACCATGATTAAAGAATAAAGAAATAAAAGAAAGTATCAGATAAGGAAAAAGAGATTACCAAAAATGTTCCAGTATATTTCAAATATAACCAAATATAACATCTAAAAATGACAGACATAATTAACATAATAAAGTCATCTAAAGTAGCAGATACAGCTGAAGAGAGCAATAGCAAATTGGAAGATCAATTTGAAGAAACTACACAAAATCCAGCACACAAAGAGAAAAAAGTAGAAAATCCAAGAGTTGAGAGTTACAAAGGACAGAGTAAGAAGGCCTGTTAATCATCTAATCCAAGTTATAGAAAAAGAGAAAAGAATGGAAAGAAGAAACAGAGGCAATAGGAATATTGTCTAAAAATTGTTTGTTGAATGACAACAATCCTCAGAATGGAAATGACTCTCACAGTCCCATTGTAAGTCAACTGCAATGCAGCAGCAGAGAGAAAGGCATAGGCAAAAAGTATATAAGTACAAAAAAGGACAACAGACTTGTGACTAATTGTTCATTAGTCACAATAATTGATCACAATAGAAGACAGTGGAATAATGTGTTATGATTTGGATATGAAATGTCCCCCTTTTGTGTTGGAGGCTTGGTCCAGAGGTGGTACTCTGAGAAGTGATTGGATCATGAGGGTTCTGACCTCATCAGGGGATTCATCCACTAATAGCTGGACTGTCTGGAGATGGTGGAAACTGTAGGAAGGTGGGGTGTGGTTGGAGGAAGTAGGTCAGTGGGGGCATGCCCTTGGGGATCATCTGTAGCCCCTGTTCCCTTTGTCTGTCTGTCTCTCTCTGTCTCTCTTTCCTTACTGTCCTGACCCATATTGGGACAAGACTGGAGGTCCATCCTGTTCATAACGCAGCTCCGCCTCTGCCTGATTCTTCTTCCTCCCCCTTCCTTCAACACTCTCTGAGAAATGTCCTCCCCGCTGATCTCCACCTGAGAGGCAGCTTCTCCAGGAAGCCAGTCTGCAGCAGACATCCAGGGCACAGGGCTGGGGGAGTAAGGTGGGAGAGAAGGCTGACCGACAATCAGACTTTGGAGCCACTCATACAGAGTTCACAACCGAAGCGCAGGAGCTGAATGAGACGGCTAAATCAAAGAAGCAGCTCGCAGCCCCAGAGAGGCCTCCACGGCAGTGTACAAGGAAGAGACTAGAGGCTGTGGAGGACCGAGGAGTGGTGCTCCATGTAACGCCATCAAGGTCAAGGACGGGACGCTCCACGATGTGTAGGTGAAGTACTGAATGTGCAGGTAAGGAGAGGACTGTTGGACGCCGAGGTTTCCTGACCACAGCCACCTTCCATCCCCCTTTGGTATTTTTTTGTGTGCGGGAGGTTGAGCCTCAGGCCTTGTACACCTAGGCAAGCGCACCATCAGTGAGCCACATCCCCAGCCCTTCTGAAAACTGTCTTATTTTAAGGCAGGGTCTCCATGTAACCCAGGCTGGCCTTGAACTTGTGGTCCCCTGCCCCAGCCCCCCGAGTAGCTGGGTCACAGGTGTGCACTCCCATGCCTGGCTCCTTTCCCTCCTGCCTGGTGCGTCCTCCGGTTCTACTCCAGGAAAGGATTTCTCCTCTTCTGCCCTAGTCTCCTTAGATGGGCTGAGTCTGCCCACCATTCCACAGTGGGGGCTGGTGCTCAGGACTGCACTCCCCTGGCCTTCAGTTTGGACTAGTGAGAATCAGACCAAAGGCTTTATTTAAACACAAATAAGCTCTTTTTAACTTAAATTGAATGGCCCTGGGGTTCACTGGAGCCTCAAAATGAAGTCAACACAAGAGAACAAAGCTGAATCTTGGAGAAAGTCCTGGCCTGGACAGGATCTCATTTGAACACCCTGATAAAGTGGTCTTTGCAGCTACACCCCTAGATTTTTCTGGTACTATTCCATGGAATTCCTTGTTTTTATTTATAAATTTGAGTTGGGTTTCTGCCACTAGCAAATTAAAAAAAAAAATTGTACCTGATAACATGAGGATAGATGATGACCCAAATTCAATTTTCTGTTCTTCTTCTTCTTTTTTTTTTTTTTTCACAAGACAGGATAAGGGAGGAACCTGCCATGGTTGAAAGAAAGCTGGCATTGCTGCGGCAGGAATCCACAGTGACCCTGGGTGCATGAGCAACCTCCGCCTTCCTTGTGACCAGGGTGTGACAACAGCATGTGCTTGCAACATGGTGAAGTTAAACTAATTTACGTACAGCCTCATACAGTGCCTGGTTCTTAGTAAATGCTGTAAAAGTGTTAGCGGTTACTAGCTACTATTCCTAATTACAGAATCTCATGAGCACATTTTCCTGTTTATAAAATCATCACGAGCCTACGCATAGATATTCCATATTTTACTTGGATACTTGCCCTAGTAACAAGCCAGTTTTTCACTATTTTGAATAACACTGCCTCAAAGGTCCTTGTATATAAAGCTTTCTGTGTTTATGATTATGTTCTGAGTTTAGAGGAGCTCAGGGTCTGATTCTCAAAGATTTTTAAGGTCGTAGAATCTGGATCCTTGATCTAATGAATCTTCCTTTGTGTTTTCACATCAGCTGTTTGTATTCACCCAAGTCTTCTCTTCCATCATTTAGGCTTGCACCTATGGCCAAGATGGTCAACAACAGTGCCACGTACTATCATAAAGTGCTCTGAGAGAGATAATAGTCGTTATGAGGATCGTATCCTTTAATGAGATGGGGCAAATGCATTGAAGTATTAAATTAAAAATAGAAACAACCAGAAATCTCAAGTGACTGGAAATACATCTGAATTTCACTTTGAAAAAGTAGAACCCATCAGAACCATATGTAGTGGATACTCATATTTACTGAGCATCCACTATATAATGAATGGAAGACTCACTGATTGTCCTGATGCATGTCTGGAAGCATCAGGAGTACTTAATGAGAGTAAGCTTGATCACATTTCTAAGTCAGAGAAACTAAGTTTTGGTTACATATTTTCCCAAACAGTTTTCACTACTCACAGCTTTCTAAGGCTAATGACTTAATCATAATAGAAAAAACAACATAGGAACGGACATTTGTCTTAATTTCACAGTCAAATATGCCTTTTTTAGGGGAAAAAATGTCTGTCACCTTTAAGATATCAGCAATTTGCAACAATTATTTTAAGGTTAGTATAATCTGGAAAAAAAAAAGATGTGTTTACTCCCACAGTTTTATGAAGAAGTCAAAATAACTCAAAAGAAAGTATGGTCACAAATGTATGGACACCTTTAACTCAAGTATCAACTAATATCCATCTGACCTTAGTAACTGATTTGAAATTCATATCCTCTCATATAAAAGGAGTATTAATCCAAAGCCCTGAGTTCAAGTGCACTAGAATGTTGTAAACCCCAAAGGATTTATTGGAGAAAACTCTGAATATCAGCCTGTCTGAGGCCAGACACCATTCCTGCTCTCCTGAGTCCCAAAGTCCCAGGATCCATGCCTCTGCCTTAGCTGCCCTCAGCCCCTAGAATCCCGGTCACCAACAGCTGGGATCTCTGCAAAAACTTTCCCGAGTAACACAAACTAGGTTGCCAATCTCTACCCACATGCCACACTGGAACAAATCATTTGGAAAACATTAGACCCAGAAAACATCTTGCATTTCCCACCTCCCTCTCTCTCTGTCGTTCTGAGGTTTTCATGGAAGCCCTAAGCCTTCTGTTGGTCAGCTGGAGCTTCTTCCATTACCTAATCTTCAAACTACACTGTTCCTCCCTTGGCCTCCTCCCCTTCCGTAAAGGGCGCCATCATCCACTCACTCAAACCAGCGAGGTGAAGTCACCCTAACTCTTCCTTTCCTTCTCTCCTGTGTGCACGCTATCAGTAAGTCCTGTCGATTCCAGATCCCAATGGAAAGCCAGATCAGCCTTTCTGGGGTCCTTTTGCTGGTCTCCTTTCCAACTACCACACCCTTTCTCAAACCCTCAGTTCTCACTTGGACACATGCAGCAGCCTCCTGAATGCGTTCAGAATGATCTCCCCCCAGTTCCCCCAACACACCAAGCTCTCTCCCACTCTGTCCTTGCCTCACACTGACCCTGTACCTGACATGTGCTTTCTGCAGGCTTGACCTGGACCACTCCTTCCTAGATTTCAGTCTCAGAACTTGTCATCTCCCCAGGGTGACCTTCCCGCCCACTTAGACAAATAAACTCATCTCCTGCCACTGTCCCACTGTCCTCTGTCCTCAGCAGTTTTGATTGCTCACTGACTTTTAGAATGACATATATCTGCTAGTTATTTATTATCTTTCTTCCTCATGAGACCATAAATTTCACGAAGGCGAAGATTAATCCATTGTGCTCCCCAGTGTACACCAGTGCTGGGACAGTGACTGGCAGGCAGTGGGAAGCTTATTAAATATCAGCTGAATAAATGAATGGGTACCGTGTGACCCCCTTACTGAAGACTGAACCCTCCGATGCTCCCCAGCTTTACCTCGGGGCACTCAGCTCCTCCATGGGCTACAGATACGAGACATTTCTGAACAAATGTCCTGCACTCCTAAACTTTTCACTCCACCATCTCCTCGTTCCTAACTCAAACTGGGCTCTTCTGTGAGAACCAGCTTCCCCAGTGATCACTCCAGTTGAAGCAGTCACCTCTCCCGTTCAGACCCTGGAAAGTAGAATCATTCCAGATCCCTGAAAGGATGAGTAGGGCAGAAAGGCACCCACCAACTTCTCAAGGAAAATAAGTCAGTGTGATCGGCACAAGGATCAGAGAACCAAGAGAAATCAACTGTGTTCATTTTAACATCAAACTCACAGTTTTATTCTTCTGTGACGTGGATTGGAAAAAAACCCATCTTTTTCAAATCAATATCCAATCATTGACTATTATCCATTGTCCTTGCATTTCAGAGAAAATTGTAAAGCTATTTATTCATATCAAAAAGCTCTTTGGGGGCTTTATTTTATATACAGGTTAAATCTAATTTTTTTAAAAGGAAACATGGGTATGGATGCTTAGAAGTAAATACTCACAGATTTAGTACTTGCTGGCTGGCTTTCACAGCTGAAAAGAAGGCTTTCCTGCCCTTAGCGCCTCTCCTGAGGACTGCAGGTGACGGATACTGCACTATTACAGAGACCTTGTGTTGTTGTTGTTGTTGTTGTTTTTTTGTCTTAAGGTTTTATGGCTCTGAAGAGGAAATACTGCAGAGTCAAGCAAGGCGTTTTTAGGTTATGAATCATTTATGCTCTTTGGATTTAATGAAACGACATTCTGAACAATTAAATGGTGTGTAATAAGCTATCAAGAAATTGACAATCTTACGATGAAAGAGGTTCAAAAATCTCTCAAAGAATTTATAACCATAATAATAAAAACAAAATATTACTGAGCCATGGTTGGCCTGGGCAGTGCCTAAGCACTGTCCCACACATTTATCCAGCCAGTAGCCTATGAACAGGGACCACTCTTACCCCCATAATACAAGGCACAGAGGTTAAACAATTTGCCCAAAGCCACCCAGCTGGTGAGAGCTAGAGAAAGATCCCACACACCCACCTGAGAGCAGGAGCTATTCATCATGGCAACCTCTTCCTATTCTTCATTGTCCAGGGCAAAATAAATGCCTGTTGCCAAGAGACAAATTTGGTAAAACAATACCAAGTTATTTTAGGACTAAGCTGAAGAGGTTGGCATCTCGGAGCCTTCTCTTTTTTTGATGTAACCATTCTCTCTGTATATGGTGTGTATGCATCTGCACTGGTATCTATATAAACACACCTCCCCTGTGTTGCTGGCAATGAACAAGTGAAACATATTTCTGAAATCTCTTAATCAAAAGTTTGCATTAATAATTTTAATTAATTAATTTGGCAAGGGACTAGAGCACACCCTACTGGCCAGCTAATAGGAAATACAGCATTTACTTGGGACAAAATGTCTAAATATTTAAATCAGAAGGTAAAGTCAAATTTCTGCTTGAAAAAAAAAATTATCTTGAAAACATCGACTATGTATCTAAATTAAATTGATCCACAGGATACTAAAAAAATTCTAACAGTTACTGATTCCAGAGGTGGGATGGAATTAGAAAAACATCCGTCAAAAGCATCAAATATTTATTAAAGCAACATTAGGTATCTGAAGGGTGACTCAATTAAAACTAAACAACTAGATAGACTGTCCAAAACCTATACTAAACAAAAGTTAGTTAAGCCCTGCCTCTGACATCTAAAACACAGACTAATAAATTGCAAGTAGCCCATCCGTCTTCTCACAGGCTACATATACCAAGTAGAAAGGAAGGGAAAAATGGAGTATTGCTACTATTCAAATAGTTGCTAAGGGAAAAGCTCAATGGGAGACTCTGTTGTGATGTGGCACTCACAGATGAATGGTGGGCTCTTACCAGCACATCCATTCGAAAGTAATCCACAATTTATTGGAGATTATACACACACACACACACACACACACGATTGTTTTCAAAACAATGCAGTACACTAAACAAACAGCCTATAAAAAATACATTTCTTCCATTGGGCGTGTAGATTTTTATTGCATGCTTGCTTACAGACTAGTAAAAAAAAAGTGCATATTATACATTTATATCATGTATAGATAGAAATAAAAGCTCTGGGACTAAAAGGGTAATGCAAAAAGGATCTTGTTTTAAAATATGTCTTTATGAACAAGGAGAAATGCATAAGTTTTCTCATGTAATCCTTCACAGCCGAGAAAGACAAACACCAAAATGTGCATACTCTTCTACAGGATTCCAATATCAAAACGTGGATATAAGTTGTACATTTGATAAGGTCTGCCCAGCATCTCTATACATACACGACTTGTGGAATTTCCTGGTGAGGACAGAAAGGAGTAATGTCCTCAGGACAACAGTATGGTTCTCAGGATCCTGAGACAGAGCTTCAAGCTTTTTCTCACTCCAGGGATAGCAATTCTTTTGCTGAAAAGGGATTGCCCGCACAACGACTATCTGGGTCAATATGATGTTGAGTCTAATGTTTTAGATGTCATGCTCTATTAAAACAGTGTCCATTCCGTGAGAAATGGCCTCAAAATTAAATCAACTCTGAGAAATATATATTTTTTTAAATACATTACTCAAAACTTAGGTTCAGTGATCTAATTTCCTAAATCTCTAATGAGTGGTCACTTGCTAAACATAATATGATAGAATTACTTCACGTTGCTTCACATTTTCCTTTCAGACTCTTCCCCAAACATTCTATGATACTACTGACATATCAATGTTATTATAAAATAGTAAGTAGACTACTAGATAAAAGATTTGTGGAGCATAACTTTTCTCATGTAATCCTTCACAGCTGAGAAAGACTTATTATATGAACAAAATTATGAACCAAATTCAGTTAACTAGCAGCTATAACTGTTTTTCCCCAAAAATGAATAAATCAAATGTTTATTTTCCAAGATTAAAATAGATCAGAAGAGAAATCAATGAATCGTGTGTTACTCATATGATTTTGTGATTTTTGATGATTTACCAAAACATTAGCACATCATACAGATCACCACTATATAGTAAGTATCCTGTTGATCTTCTTTCTCTAAAGAAGGAGTGTGTTTGATGGTTGCTCTGGTGATTATCACTGTTTTATGAATAGGGGAATGTAAAAGCATGCCAATAAGGCCAAAGCACAAATTACAGCTGTATTGTGGTGACTTGAAAGAGCGTAACTAGGGTTCCTTTTGAATGAAACTGGAGCTCATCTAGGTCCACGTTCAGTAAATGCTGTACTGTGAGGTCTGAAAAGATGTTCTGGGCAAGTTCTCAGGCGGATCTTTTTTTTTTTTTTTCACACTGCTAACAGCATATGGGTAGTGGTGAACATAAAACAGGGAGGTGGAGATGGAATCTGGATAGATTTTCTGTAAACCAAAAAAACCTAGTTAAGTTGGTAAGAAAATCAGCAATTCTTTGTGACTAATTCCTATAATACTAAATGAATACAATAAGTAAGAATATAGGGAAGACAGGATAACTCCAATATTGATAAATAGCCTGGACATGAAAATGACCCCACAGCCCTCTAGGCCAGAAGGTACCGTTGAAAGAACAGGATAACTGTCCTTGCAAGTGAAAGGGGGCAAAGGGATACTTCAGTTTTTCATTTTTAATTTGGTGCTTAAGGCCTTGAATTCAAAATGAGGCCTTTGAATTAAATTTAAAAGGATTTAAGTAAACAATGTTGGAGAAAAGGCAAATCATTTCACGGGGTGCAAAGTTAATAGTTAACTTGATAATGAGGCCAGAATCTCATTCCATATGTTAAACAACCTCAATTAGGTTGTGCTAAACGTATAACTATCAGGCATTATTGCTGAAGTGCAAGAAGGGCTCTATGGAGACCAAAGAGGTCAGTAGCAGTCTTTGGCCTCTACTCCATAAAGTACCATTTAGGAAATCTGTTCTCGTTAATACTGGAGGGTTTCCGTTTGTTTGCTTTTTTTCTTACTTTAGCCACTCTTGGTTTGTTATCATTTGTATTATTTATTTTACGGTTAAACTATAAGCCCAAGTTGCATCACGGGTGCCCCCAGAAACCTCCTCCTACAGGCTTGTTCGTGGTCTGTCCTGGGGCATCGCACGGCTGCCCGGTGCCAGGAGATATCCAGGCCAGCTTGGGTCTAACAGGTAAACAGGAGAAGAACCAGGGCCTCCAGGACCCAGCAGGGGCTGCCCCTAGAAGTGGTGGGCGGCCTGAAAAGGTCAGCAGCACCAGGACAGGGCTCCTTTTCCAATATGTGGTCAGAAGAGCCCTTGCCCTCCCCTGGTGGCCCTGCTCTCAACAAGGAGTCCTGGCTGCCCCTCTGTCTCTCACTGCCCCTCGCCGTCCCTCATTGTCCTGCACTGTCCCACTGTGTCCTGCACAGACCCACCCTCACTGTCTCTCACAGTCCCATAACGTCCAGCACTGTTCCAGCCATTCCTAACCGTCCCTCGCGGTCCCGCGCCATCCCTCACTGTGCCGTGTTGTCCCCACAATCCTCCCCTGCCCCTCACCGACCTACAGGGTCATCCCTCCCCGTTCCCCGCCGTCCCTCACCATCCCTTCCCGTCCCTCACAGTCCCTTGCTATCCCTCCTGTCCCTTACTGCCCTGCCCAGCCCCTCACGTCCCCGGGCCCCTCCGAGTCCCTCGCCGTCCCGCCCCGTCCCGAGCTGTGGCCTCGCAGGCGCTGCCCTCGCCCCGTCCGGGTCCTGGTCCCGTCCGCCCGGCTCCCGCAGGAGGGGACGGCACGCACTATCCCCGGGGGCGGGGAATTGGGGGAAATTCCGCGCGAGGCCGGCTGCGCGCAGACTTCTGAGAAAACCCTGAGTGTAGGCTGTCGGGGGCGGCTGCCGGGATCCGCGAAGGCGAAGAGCCAGGGGCCTCCAGCGAGCCGGGGGCCTCCCGCGACGCCCTCCGGGACCCCGCAGCAGCTCCAGCCCGGCATCGCCCCTTTAAGCGGCTTGCCGCCCGGATTGGCTGCGCGGCGGGGGCGGGGCGGTGGGCTGACGTCACGCTCGGCGCTTACGCTAAATACTCAGCGGCGGCGGCGGCGGCGGCGGCCGGGTGCGAGGCAGGCGGCGCGAGCGGGAGGGCAAGCGAGCGAGCGAGCGAAGGAGCGAGCGGCGAGGCGCCTGCGCGATGTCCGGGCCCCGGAGCCCGCGGCGCTGAGCCGGCCTGACGGACATGCGCGGGAGGGCGCCGTGGGGCAGCCGCCGCTCCCCCGGGGTAAGGCGCTCGGCGCTGCGGGCGGGCGGGCGGGCGGGCGGACGGGCGGCGCGGCGCCCCTCGGGCCCTGCGCGGGCGGCTCCGCGGGGCGGGGACGTGGGGCGCGCGGACAGGGCCGCCGCGACGCCGAGCTGCTCCGGGACGCGCCGAGGGGCAGGGGCAGGGGCAGGGGCGGGCCCGCGCCGGGCGTTTCTTGCGGCGTGCGGAGGGCCGGGCCCGAGCTCGCCCCGGCGCGGGCGTGGGTGCCGGCGACCCTCGGCGCTCCCCTCGCCCCGGGGCCCTGTACGCGTCCCCGCCGGGCACCGGGTGCCTGCGGAGGGCGCGGGGCGGGCGGCGGGCTCCTGCGGCCCGCGCCCCGTTTCTGTCCTGCCGGGGCTGCGTGCCCGGTCGAACCCGAGCGCCCCTGAAGCCTGCCGGGGACGCTCCGGTGGGCGGCGGCACCGGCTCTCGGTCGCGGCCGGCCTCCGTCCCTCTGCCGGAGCTCTCGGCGCCCAGGTCGTTTCCTCTGTCTGTATTTGTAAATTGACCCGAGTTGTTTCGTGTTCTTTCCCTCCTCTTGTAGAATCGCGCTCTTTAAGGGCACTGCGGGATTCCGTGCTGAGAACCTGAAAGCTGGCCGGGAATTTCGTGTACTTATATATCACATCCTGGTGCAAATTAGACGATTCCTTGACCATGATTGGTGCTGTATCGGTGCTTCCTAGGTCTTTATTAGGATTTCATCATTGCTTGAAAGAAACCAGTCTCTTCCCTGATAAAAATGTGAATAGATTGTTAGTCATGAACTTAAGTAGTGCAGTCAGAATAGAGACTGTAGCTTTAAAAGAGATGTGTTGGTGACTTCAGGTACACCTGCAACACAGGTAGGGCAGGACTGGTTTCTAGGCAACTGTCAGAGGTGAAGAAAGGTGAGGTTTAAAATGCCCTTTTTTTTTCCCCTCCTGAAGAACAAGAGTTCTGCAAAGTTTCAAGCTTTTGTAAATCTCCAAGGATGTAGTAGATATATCTTTGTTGAAACTGAAACATCTAAGTTCACTATACCGAGTCTTGTTTTTTTTTTTTAAGTTGTATTTCTTGACATAATTGTAATTAATTTTCAGAGACATTTTACTTAAACAGACCAAAGACAGGTACCTGTATCAGCAGAAGACCAAATTTTTGCAAAGCCCCAACTAAAAGCTGGTTTCTTGCTAGTCTGATAAGTATATTATCAACCCATCCCTTTTCTGGATAGTAGCAGGTTTGAAAAGAAAAACATAGATTTTAGTATGGATTTCAGACATGATTTGCATTCCCTCACTTCCTGCAGAGCTTCTTTTCACTGTGTGTTCTGGTGGACATTTACTAATAGACAGAGAAGTCTTAACTATCAGTTTATAACCTGGCAGTTATATTAGATGGTAAACTCCTTAAGGGCAGGAACTCTGCCTTGTACAGCTTTTTATCTTAGGCAGCCTTGCACAGAGTTGATATTGATAAATAAATGCACGAAAGCATGTTTTACATTTTAAGGCTCAGCAGGATTGGACTAGTCACTGATAAGGGTTGGAAAGCAAATCTATTTTTTATGGCTGTTGTGAAATGTCCGAATTCATATTTGAAGTTGAAATGTTTGTTTTCAATGAATTCTTTTTCCTATTTTTAGTTCACAGTAGATACTGCTTACCCTTTTGTGAGGTTTAATTATGCTGTGGTCTTGAGTTTTTATGTGAAAATAACTCTTCACAGCTGCTGCTCAGAAGTTAAACTAGATAATACTTCCTTTCTGCTTATACTAATGGTAGCTTTTAAAAGCAAGTTGCCTAAATTACAGGTACAATCTAACATGCTTGAGACTGACCTGATTGTCAACATACCATCAAGTTGCTTTAGAAAGGTGAGCAGAGGAGGGGAAAGGTGGTGCCCAGGGTAATCCCAGGAATTTGAATGTCGTAGGCTCCCTCTACCAGAGAAGCAACTCTGCTCATAATCTAAATAAATATGAATTGGTACCTCATCATCGGGAACCCTCAGCACACTCTGCAGGTGTTTGGCCATACTTTGTAAAAGCGAATGAAGAACCAGCTTACTAGATAAACACAGTCCAGTTGTGGTATTCTGGCATTATTTGCACAGAATAAACACATGCTTTGTAAAGGTACATAAAACTGGTAAATTTCAGGCTCCTAAATGTAAATTGCTAACTTAATAGAGAATTAGTGTTAAGAGAGAGAGAAAAGGTAGTGTGAGATTCTGATTTCAAATGTTGAGAGGAAAAAAGATTTTGAGATTAGGAGACTTCATTGACAAATCCAACTTTTTATGTCATAAAATTGGGCAGTATATTATGAAGCCCCTTTGTAAATCAAAGGGAAAACCTTCATAAGGTCTGTCTAGGGAGGAGCAGCAACCTATGGGTTGAGGACTTGAAATGGTGACACGGTGACATGAAGGGAACCCTCCGCTAAAAGATATGTCCTCCTCCTTTCTATTTTTCTGTTTATTCCTCTATAGTTTCCAAGTTTAGTTTTTAGTATTAGAATGAAGAGGGGGGGAAAAAACTTATAGGAAAAAGAAATTGGGCAGTATTACAAAAAGACCACAATCTTCTAGATCTCAGTGAATATGTCTTTAAAATGTGGGACTTGGGCTACAGGAATTAGACTTCTTTTCAACTTGGAAATGGAATGGCAGGGATTAGACAGCATTGTTCAAAAGCTCTATTAATGACCCACAGATAGGAAACTTACCTAGTTACAGATTGCTTGTTAGAAACAGTTTTGCCCTCTGTGGAAGGCTCTTCTCCCAACTGACAGCTGCTTTTCCATTCTTTATAACTCTATTTGAAAAGTCCCTTGCTCAGTGAGACCTTTCTTGACCACCTGTATAAATACGTTCTCTTCTACCTCCTTATCCTGTCACTGTACCCTGTTTCCTTGAAAGTTATCACAATCTGAAATTGCTGGAATTGTTTGATTGCTTATATGTCATTTTCCTCCCTCATTAGATCAGAAATTTCCATCAGGCAGCAACCACGTCTGTTTTTCACCTAGCATAGTATCCAGTCCAGTCACCTAGCATAGTATCCAGTCCAGAACAAGTGTTTGATAAGTATTTGTGAAAAGAATTAATGCATGGCGGCTAAGAATTTGAGCTGAGATATGGAGATGTGGCTCAGTGGTAGAGCACTTGGTTTGAGCCCCAGTACTGGAAAAAAAAGTTTCTGATCTCCTATCTCTATAGTTAGCCAGCGCTTAGCATTGCACTTAGCAACTATTTGCTTCAGTTTCCCTATTAATAAACAGTGTTAGGCAGAGAAGCAAGTTGCTCCTGACATGAAGATGCTGTAGAAAGCAGAGGCAGTGAGTGTGTGCTGGGCAGAAGAGCCCTGCCAGCCCTTTTGTTCATAGCAGGAGGTTTCACCTCACTTGGTTTCCTCATTTGCAAACTGGAGATTATAATCCCTAACTCTTCTTAGAGGGATGTTGTGGGGATCAAGTGAGATAATGTTGGAGAAAGTGCTTTGTAATTCGTACAGTGCTTTACGAATATATTCTATTGTTGTTAAATTCCAGATTTTACCATAAAGCCTGATTATAATGCCATCATTAGGATCCACGCTGTAGGGGTATGTTAGAAAAGGCCCGTTGGGTATATGTAGTAACCCCTTTTACGAGTAAAGACAGACCTGTGCTATATCAAATACTATGTTGTAACAGGTTACATCATGATGGGGCATCACTCTATCATTAAAGATTGAGGGCTTCAAAAGAATTGTTGCACGTGGTCATAATAGAAGGTCAGACTGATACCTTTACCCACCCATTTAGATGCTAGGCCAGATGTACAATTAATGATTTTTAATAAGGAAAATTTGGGGGAGTTGAAGTAGAACAGGACCTTTTTTTTTCTTTTTTCTTTCTTTTTTTTTAAGGGATTGAACCTAGGGTCCCTCTACCACTGAGCTACATCAGTGGTAAAAAGACCCTTTTTAAATTTTGAGACAGGGTCTCAATGAGTTGCTGAGTCTGGCCTCAGACTTGTGATCCTTCTGCCTCAGGCTCCCAAGTCACTAGGATTACAGGAAAAACAGGAACTTTCATAGCCTACAGGCTCTCCCAGAAAAACTATTTATCAACCAAAATGCCCCCAAAAGTTTATCTGCCCTACCCATAAAGGTGAAGTGTTATGCTTGGTCAGATCTTACCCCGCCAGTTTGAATAGCCTGAAGGACTGGAAGAGGCAGTGGTGTGGTGGTCAAAACCTGGACTTTGAAGCCGGGCTTCCTGGCCTAAGTCCTGGCCTTGCCTCTCACCATGTTTGA